TGCGCTTCCGTTCCTCGGATTCACGTCATTTAGTCGGCGCACTCCTGGTTCCTCCCGCGATCGGACTCTCCGGATTCTGCTGTTCTGGAAACAGACCAAAAGCGAAAACTCGCGTTACTGCGGATGCGAGGCTTGAAACGCTTCGAGTCGCCCGCGAGGGGCGGGCGCCGTCGAGGGGCGGGCAGGTGACGGAGGTGGGGCCACGCAGAGATCAAAGGTTTTTGCGTAAAGATGGAGATCTGCTCTGGCTGCGGAAACGGGATCGTCAAGCGGACAAGCGCGGGACTACCAATGCAAGCACGCTTCACGCTCGAGGAGGCTGCGGATCAGCCGCTACTGATTTCTTTCAGATCAACCCCTTGACGCACGTTGAGACGCTTTGTGGGATGTTTGAACGTTGATTGAATTCGAAGTGTGACGAAATTTGAGGTTTCGTGGTTTGGGAAATAGTGAATTGTTATTTTATGGTGTTGACATTAGGGTGGAGATTATAGACAGTCGAATGTCTCTGGAAATATTGATTACAGCGAAAATGTTTCAGAAAGTTCGATACCGAGGAGGACATGGACACTCCAAGGTGAAGGCCAACTTTCTTTTTTTTAATGGGATGGTACGTTTTTTTATTCGCCGTCGAATAGTGCGTTTTAAGACGAATTCAACGACATGCGACTCAAGGTCATTCAAGGTCAAACTTGCAGGGAAATGGAGAAAGGTGTGATTCCATGTCTACGTTTAGTTATAGGTAGTGATTAACCCTTTGAACTCTGTAGGCTCCAATATTGCAGTAGTTATAATATTGAATATTTGAATGAATTTTTAAACTACCTTAAGATTGTTAGATCTTCCAAATATACAAAGTTTGTACTAAAAAGGGAATTGAAGATCTAGAAATGTTCTAACATTGTTAATTTTCAGTAAGACTATCAAAATTGGTAGCAGTTGCTATCACATCACAAAACTAAGTGTAGTGCTAAGGGTTAATAGAAAAATAATATTCAACCCTTTGCATTCGACAATATTTTTCTCAGCAAATGTTTATTATTTTTATAAGATATCAATATTTTGCAACTAATATAAAGAAATACCTTGTGTAAAATAAGTGACAGAACTATTTTATTTGGATATTCTAAATTTGATCGTTTTGTTCGGTCAAATCAAACGATTGAAAGGTGCTCGAGTGCAAAGGGTTAATTTATATTCCAAGAATATAAACAACACTCAGATTTCTCAGACTCAGTTTGAAATTTTCATAAATTTTCAACCGAACACTCGATTTTTGCCGAAACGAGACACATCGTTTCGCTGTTTCACTTTTTCCTTGTCACAGGGCGATGTCATTCGCGTTGATTAGATTAGATAGCTGATGATATCTCCGTTTCCGAACAGATTCTCGGCTTATCGATGATGTTATCCGACTGGGTTTCATGCGTTACGACACGGTGATGGAATGTTTGTTAATTTTGAATCGAATTGTGCTCCGTAGGTTCGTTGCTTTAGGTTCTCCCGGTATGGGGTGAAGACCTGTTGCGTTGCCTCAATAAAAGTCGGGATTAAAAGGAGTTTATTTTCCAAAAATTGTTCCCCCGGCCTTACAAATTTCGGCTACTATAAACTATAGTTGCGGAATTGTTTAAGAACAATGAGATTTGATTATTGAAGCTCTGATATTTAGAATCGTGTTTTGTTTCATTTCAGAACGTGGGGATGTTCGAACAATTTGAGAATCAGGGAAATTCCAAAGTTTTTCAGGGGTGTGTTCTAGTTTGAGTAATTTACGTGTATTCGTGTATAAAACAGACGAATTTTGAGCATATTCCATGTCCACGTTTGAAATTCAAATTCCGTTCGCAAGAAGTGAGTAATAATTATCAAATTCTCTTTCAAATCTTCACGAGCCTCACGTGATTATTTTTAATAATCAGTTAATTTTATATTTCTGTGAATATCACGATTAAATGACTAGCACTTGTTACAACAAGATAACGTCGTTTAAATCAAAGAAACTCAACGTGTCAGAATAAAATAATATACTCTCATGCAAATTGTTTAATTCAAATATTTCCCTGGAAATATTTGACTCGTCATTGGAGGAGAGATAAATGTTAAGCCGCTGATAACGACGTAAGTACGTCCGCGCATAAAGGAAATTATATCTGAATTTTAATTCGCAAATGAATTTAATCTATCTCAGTTGTTCCGCGCCTCTATTCATTTGCGTGCTACTTGGCAATCCATTTCCCCAGATTACACCCCTCCCGCCCGGTAATAAACTGTTGGTAATTAATACAGATGCTACTGTTTCAAATGTACACTGCGCGAATAAACAATCGAATGATGGGACTAAAGGCAATGATACAATAAGGTGGTCAGACATAAGCATGTTTGTGTCTGCAAAAGGATGCTTCGATCATTGCGAATGATTACAACTCGATTCGATGAGAAATATTCAAAACAATCATTGAATATTCAAAATTCTCTTGAAAATCAATAGTTTCACTTGACTATAACGAATGTCGGAAGAAACTGGAAACAATCTATTGTCACAATTTCTATGGGAATTATATAGTAATCCTATTAAACACACGGTAGTTCTAGTGTTAATATTGAATTAAAAATTTTATAAATTTGTTACCTCGAATCAGGTGGCGACTAAAAAACCTCCCGATTGCAGAGGGTTAATTTTGATATTCACAGCTTCGAAACACCATTACAGCCAACAATTGCCAAACAATCATCAAAAGAGAACCTTCGAAAACCTCGTACATCTCGAATCGGCATAACAGATTAAACAAAACGTTAAAATCCGCTCGCGGAGTATTTATCGGCTTCGAAATCCCCCGACGAGCTCGCGACGAACATAATTCCGGCTATCGCGCGTTAACCGGCGAGAAACCGCGTTTCCTCGCGCGTCTCGCGGCGAGAAGTCCGGAGGAAAACAGCGAAACGAGCCGGCGCGCGTACACGCGTCCGCGAATAAGTATGCGCCTTTATATACGAGCCGGGGAGACAGTTAAGGCAAAGAAAAAGGAAAAGAAAAGCCGAGGAGAAGGAACGGAGAGTGCAGCGTAGTACAATTTTCCGTCGCGCGAGTAAGCCGCTTACGAAAAGCGGACCCGAGGCAGTCGACTCGTTTCTCATGTTACCCGACAAGAGTTATGGGGACGTATGTGCGCGTTCAACGCACTAGAAAATACCAGAAAGAAAAACGTTCCCGGTCGAAACGTTTGTTTTCCCGGGGATTTCCCCGGCGGATGGGGAATCGACGGAACTGACCGTGCCCGGAACGATCTTTCGATGCTGGATCATTCACTGAGACTTAGTAACGAACGTTTCTTTATTGTATCGGATTTTTGCGATCGAGATGCTGGAATGTAAAGCCGATCAGATTTCAGATGTTCGATCGTGTTGAAACAGTTAACTGGCTGTGATTTCTTTCGCAAGTGTCCAATGAAGATGACAAAAATTCAGTCATTTCTCTTTGAAATTGTTTTCTTCAGGCAATACTTTGTTAAAAACGCAGATTATTGTCTCATTCAAAGCTACTCGAGCTCTATAGAAGCTTATGTTACATCATAATCAATCAAATGTTATCTAAAATCGGTCATTTTCCTCTAAAACTATTTTCTTATAGTAATACTTCCTTAAAAACACAGATTATTATCTCATTCAAAGCTATTCAAGCTCTATAGAAGCTTCTGTTACGCCATAATCAATCAAATGTAATCTAAAATCAGTCATTTCCCTCTAAAACTATTTTCTTATAGCAATACTTGGCCAATCGTTAAAAACGCGGGTACAGCAGGTATCTGCCGTCGCCCGAAATTCTCCATCGATTTCAGTCCCCAGAAACGGAACGTTCGTCAGTTTTTAATACCAAAACTAGAATTTTCACTAGAATTTTTTCGTAGTTAGATAACGCTCTCTGTAGAGCATTTAATACGATTAATATGCAATTGCTATAAAAATTGTAACAATAGATTACTTTCAGTTTCTTCGGACACTCATTATAGTACTGAAACGAAGCTATTTATTTTGAAAATCATTTCGAACTAGAATCATTTCATCTAGAACTACCTGAAGTAATACTAAAAAAACTTTCTGCGACAATTAATACTAGATCTACCAAGCGATCAATATAATTGAATGCAACGATATATTACTTCAGTTTCTTCGAATACTATAATATTCAAACGAAACTATATATTTTCGAAATCATTTGGAATATTCAGTGTTTCCAAGGTATCGATCATTGAAACAAGGAAACCAGTCATTCCGACAGTAGTTCGAATTTAACACGTTGACTGCCACAGAAGTCTTCAAAGATTCATGTTTCGTTCTTTCGTAGTTTAGGTTCCACTGTTATCTAGTTATTTCCTCTATCAAACAAATTATAATTGACAAACAATAGTTTTCAAGTAATTTAGAAGCTCCGGTCGTTAACGCATTGACTGCCATGAAAAACTTCAGTTTTATGTATCGTTTCTCCTTTTGTAGCAAAGATAAGGAACGATCACTTCTTTTTTGCATTGCGATCGTTAGGTTACATTATTATCGATTGAACATTGTCATTCGACGTTGTCTGACGAATGATCATTATTTTCAAGTAATTCGGAAGCTCTGGTCATCCCCATGGCATTCAACGTTAACCCTTAGCAGTCCTATGTCAAGTCACACTCGACATTCTATTTTATTGCAATCTCTACTTTTAACAATTTTTTCTATATTCGTAGTATCGCAATTGTACCAGATCTACCAAGCAATCAATATAATGAATGCAACGATAGATTATTTCAGTTTCTTCGTACAGTATTCAAGCGAAGCTATGTATTTTCGAGATCATTTCGAATATTCGATGCTTCGAAGATATCGATAATTGCTAAACA